GTTGTTCGGCCTTAGTTCGCTTTAAACGGATCAATTGTCGCCTGTAGAAGTCTCCCGTGATGGTTTGACCAGGTTTTAGCAGCTCATAGTGGATCACACCCTTCTGATCCCACCAAATACAGAGCATTACCTTGGCATCATGGATATTCGGCTTCGGCGTTGATGTTCCCGGTTGGCCGGGCTTTACATACGATTTTTTGCGTTTCGGGTTGTCGTAGTGAATCCATTTTTCGTCCCCGGTAATGATTCGATGCAGAAAAGACTTCTTTTTGTACCGTTCAAGCAACATTTCGGACATGCAAAATCGTCGTTCGATATCTCTCGGTTTCAATTCGTATGGGACCCAATTTCCTTGCTTTTGGATGTATCCCGCGGCTTTGAGTCGTTTCGAAATAGCTTGTTGAGTAACTTCCAATGTTCTTGCGAGCTCTTTTTGCGTTTGACACGAATCTTGATCGAGTAATGTTTCTAATTCTTCATCTTCAAACTTTTTCGGTTGACCCGAACGCTCTTTGTCTTCAACACTAAAATCACCACTTTGAAATCGTCGAAACCATTCTCTGCAAGATTTATCCGACGGTGCAGATTCACCATAAACTTCCACAAGCATTCGATGCGCTTCAGCTGCACTTTTCTTCCAATTGAAACAGAAAATCAAAACTTCCCGCAAATGGTGCTTATTTGGAACGAAACTCGACATTTTCAACGCAGTAAAAATTAAACTTGTTGTGCAAAACTCAAAGGCTTGTAAACAATATTTGGTTGACAGATGTTGACACTTCACGATACAGCAAAAATCAGCTGTCGCCGTCAACCATTTATAGCACCTAGAGCCATCTTTTGAAAACGGACCAAACTAAGTTGTACACCCAATAATATTGTCATAAAGTTAATATAATCTCTAATATTTCAGCAAACCTATGTGTAATTATTTCACTTTTTATGTATCTTGAAAATATTACACAATAGGAACATAGTTTTGATACATGACTATGGTATTACTGTCCTCCCATTCCTGTAAAGAGAAGCAAATTATATTATTCATCATTTCATAATATCGTCATATACACATGCATATATTTTATTTAATGATTTTTACATACCATGATAACATAATATATAATAAGGCATAATATATAATAAGGCATATATAATAGGGCATAACATAAAGTGCACGTCATTACTTCAAGTAGACTCGAAAACTGTATAACGCTTTGCACCATATGCAACAAACTGAAAGTCATCGTAAGACAAATGTAAGTTCTGTCCTCCAGAAATTACCGGATATACTTTACAAGGTAAAGTATTTATTACACTAAAGCTCCATACGACGTGTCTTCAGTTAATACAATAAATATATGTACTTTAAGTATAATGAAGATATTAAAACAATCGTAATCAAATGTACGTGCTGATGCATGCAAAAACAACAAATATTACTTTCGCGTTCTTATTTGATGCTCCACAATCACTGATAATTTTCTGTTCACATCCCCAAGTTCGTGTTCGTTCGTCAAGTTGTTCATTAATATCATCAAGATGTCCAATTGTGCGACGATGTGCATCGAAAAGAGTGCTGCAATGCCGCAAGCTGCCACTGTGATTGTGTATTTGAAAAGGCCTGTGAAAAACTGTACGAAAAACACAATCTCGTAAGCCGAACTGAACTGCGGATCGAACACTATATAGTAAACAGGACTCGGTAAGGGTCTAATCGTAATGTTCTGAGCAGTGACAATCTTCCCTCTTGACAACGGTATGAATGTTCGATACGTCATCCCGGCGTCATACATGAATATACTGAATGAACAAACGTCTATCAGTTCGCACGGGGAAGAATATCGTGATGGGGGTAATTGGACTGACGACACTTTAAAAATCCTTCTCAATGTGCGCCATGTAACTCCTCATTTGATTCTTCACGTACAATAAATTGCTATATTTTAGGATCGACACAATCGTGAACAATTTTAACCTAGTTTTCACCAAGTGTGAAGTTAGCCCCCCCAAAATTCAATGTTAAATAACCTTTTTTCTAGAGGTGTACAAACAAAAACTCGACTTGTTTCGAAATGTGCAAACGAAAATCTAACGATATCATGCGTCAGACAATTTTTTTCCTGCATTTTTAACCTAGGTTTCGCCAAGTGTTGCGGTGCTGGGCACGCGGCACGTGACTGCTTTGCGAATCGCCACTGTATGGTGTGTGCTTCAGAAGGAAGACATGCTGAACATCGTATGGGCTCCACTGGATGTGGAGCAATGGATGGCGGCAAGGATGTAACGGGTGTACTGGTGCGGAGGACCGGTGTCAATTCTGGATTGGATCATGGCGCTTAAAATTATTCAGGTCAACGTAAATCGGAGTTGGCTCTCGTTCGACCTTATGATCCAGTACATGAACGATGGGGTCTTTTCGATTGGTATCGTGTCCAAGCTTCCCAGACGATGCCTGGATCTAGCCGACTGGTTTGCCAGTAGTAGTGGACTGGCGGCAATCATCTTTAGACATCCGGTGATACCTCTGGGTTGCGCCTTAGTCAGGCGGGGGTGTGATATTGTGGCTGTCAGAGTTGGTGATCTGGTGGTTGTCTCGTGCTACGTTTCCCCCAACGCTACGAGGAGCCGTTATCTTGAGTTCCTGGATAAACTCGGGGATATAGTTAGTGAGGCTGGCGGTAGAAGAGTCCTGATCGGCGGTGATTTTAACGCACGCTCGGTGTCCTGGGACCCTGTGGCAGTCAATTGAAGAGGGATCCTTGTCGAGGAATGGGTCGCCGAGGGAGACCTTTGTCTCGCTAATGTCGAGGTAGTACCTATTTGCGTCAACCCTCGCGATTCATCCGTCGTGGACCTTACATGGACTACTGCCGATCTTTTGGATCGTGTGGCGGATTGGTCGGTCAATGAGGATGCGGAATCATTGTCCGATCACCGCATTATCACCTACGTCGTGGCGGATGTGAGGTCTGGACCTCCCGATGAAGAGGTATGCGTTGCTCCCTCGCTTCATAGAAGGAGGAGGGCATACTAGGTGGCGGCGGGACGCCGTGCGTTCGAGATCTGCGTATCTTTTTCGTTCCAGAAAGAGAATAATATCGAGAGCGCGGTCTTGCTAGGCCGGGACTCGAACCCGGGTCATTCGCTTGCCGGGCGACTGCTCTAAACCACTGAGCTACCTGACGCTCCACGCTCACAACACTCTCCTTTTCCTAGATAACGCTCAGAGATATCGTTCGGAAGCGACATCTCTGCACCCGCGTTGGAACTACGCTAGAATGAACATGAGGGCGTTGATCATGGTTTTGGAATGGGATGGCGCTGCTGGTCCTGTTCTTGGCGTGGGTACGTCGGCTGAGGCCTTTGCCAACTGGATTGACCGAGTCCTGAAAAGGGCATGTGATTTTGCGGCTCCCCGAGCTGGGAGACCTATGCGGCGGAGGAATAGTGCATACTGGTGGTCGCCCGATATCGCGGAACTTCGCGAGAGATGCGTGCGGGCTAGAAGACTGCTTACGCGCTTCAACAGCAGGCAACACTTGCGACGGATCGGTGTTGCGGCGGATGACTTGGAGGCTAGACGAATTGCGCGGCGAGTACTGTGTTGCTCGTGATAACCTGCGGGGCGCCATATCTAAGGCCAAGGCGGCAGCATGGACGGAGCTGGTCAGGACTGTCGAGGCGGACCCCTGGGGAAGACCGTACCGGTTGGTCTTGAACCGCTTGAGGCATTCCTATCCTAGAGTCTCGGAGAGTCTGCCCGCTGACTTGCTGCGGGCTCTTATAGGGTCTCTCTTCCCCGCTGGTGACGGGAGAGCGATCGATCCTTGCACGGAGGTCACATGGACAGAGGAGGACGCTGTGCAGATTGCGGAAACTTACGCTGCCATCCGTCACAAGAGAAGCCAGTCGATTAAGGTGCCGGGCTTGGACGGGATCCGCTCGATTGTGTGGAGGAATGCTCCAAGAGAATTGGTGGAGAGGCTGACCTCGTGATACATTGCATGCTTGCGGGAGGAAGTTTTCCTGATTATATGGAAGTGCGCCGGTCTGGTCTTGATCCCAAAACCTGGAATCTCTGATGGGCCGCTCCCGAAGATCAGACCTATCTGTCTCCTGTGTCCAGGGTGAAACTGGGAAGATTCTGGAGCGCATCATTGTCGCCAGGATGCGCGTATGGATGACGGAGCATCCAAGGGCCGAGCTATCGGATAGACAGTTTGGATTCCGGGAGGACCGCTCGACCTGCGATGCTCTTCTGCGCGTGCGGCGTATTACCACTGGCGCTGTTGCGGAGGGTGGCGTCGCCATCGCTGTGAGTTTGGATGTGGCGAATGTCTTCAACTCGCTTCCCTTTGCGTGCATCAGGAACTCCGTGCGAGCCAGAGGTTTTCTTGGCTATATATGCAGGATTATCAGTGCATACTTGACCGGTCGTTTTGTGGAGTACCCTGTGGCTGGGGGTGGAGTAAAGCGCCGTGCTGTCTCAGCGGGGGTCCCGCAGGGCTCAGTTTTGTGTCCCCTGCTCTGGAACTTGGCGTACGACGCGGTGCTTAGCGTCAAAACCTTCGAGGGATGGCACATAGTCGGATATGTCGACGATACTTTGGTGGTTGCGACGGCTGCTACGGTGGAGGATGCCGTAGTCAAAGTCAACCTGCAAACGGCGGCTGTAGTCAGGAGGGTCGAGCAGCTGGGTCTTGTAGTGGCTGCGGAGAAAACGGAGGCTGTCCTTTTCCACGGTCGTAGGAGACACGAACATTTGCTGGAGATCAGAGTCGGGCATGCGTACATTCGGGTCGGCAGAGCTATGAGCTATCTCGGGATAATCTTTGACAGCAGATGGAAGTTCCACGACCATTTCCGATTCGTGGCTGACAAGGCGATGAGGGTAGCTCAAGCCTTGGGACGGCTTATGTCCAACGTTCGTGGACCGAGCGAGGGGAAGAGGAGGCTGTACGCAACTGCTGTTTTGTCGTTCGTTTTATATGGTGTGCCCGTCTGGCACGATGCTCAAGTACCGAATACTTCATTGGCTCGGAGAGGTCAGGCGCCTGTCCTAAGGGTGCAACGTTTCGTCGCTATCCGCGTAATAGCAGAATATAGATCAGTGTCGTTGGAGGCTGCTGCCTTGTTGGCGCTCATCCCTCCGCTCTATCTACTAGTGCCTTCTACAGCAGAACGTACGAGCGAATCAGGGAGCTTAAGACGTATGGCATGTGGACACCCGAGGATGAGCAAGAGATAAGGGCAGGTGAAAGGCTCCTCCTGTTTAGACAATGGGAAGTTCATCTCCGGCAGGGGAGACTGTCTAGTGCGTGGGTTCGTGACGCCATTAGTCCAAACTTTTGGGAGTGGATCGAGCGGTATAGAAAAAGAGGTTTGAGTTTCCACATGACTCAACTTCTGACCGGACATGGCTGCTTTTGGGACTACTTACACCGTATTGGGAAGGACGTGACCAATGTGTGCGCGCATTGTGATGTTGGTGTGGACAGTGCTCATCACACTCTCGAAGACTGTTGCGCATGGTCTCGGGAGAGACTAACTCTGCGTGGGATTGTCGGGCAGGATTTATCCCTTCCCGCCTTGGTACGCGCAATGCTCTCCTCCGAAAATGGTTGGACAGCTGCTTTAAGGTTCGTGAGTGGAGTTATGGGCAAAAAAGAGGATGCTGTGAGAGAGAGAGAGAGAGAGAGAGAGAGAGAGAGAGAGAGAGAGAGAGAGAGAGAG